CCTACTGTTTACCATTTTGACTCCGATTTAGTCTCTCGTTAAAAATCCAATGACATTTCCTGTTAATTAACTGGAGCATGATGACGTGTCCAAATAACTTGACACATCATATGCATACCTGAAAAAAAAATGACAACATGATAAAAAAATGATGACATGGAAAAAAATAATATATCAAAAAACTTAAAAAATTATTTCTTTTTCCTTTTTCTTCTCTTTTCTTCTCTTTTCCTTTCTTTTCCCCTTCAACCCAACACCTACTGGGTTCCTTCGAACCGAGGCTTCATGGGTTCCACACCTGGGTTCCACGCCTGGGTTCCTTGGAACCCAGGGCTTGGGTCTTGATGGAACCCAGGGCCTGGGTCTTGATGGAACCAGGCACTGGGTTCGTTCGAAACCTAGAGCCTGGGTTCCATCGAACCCAGAGCCTGGGTTTCCCAGGCGTCTTGGGTTCGATCGAACCCAAGCTCTGGGTTCGTTCGAAACCCAGGCAGCCTGGGTTTCCCAGGCGTCCTAGGTTCGATCGAACCTAGGCTATGGGTTTGTTTGAAACCCAGGTTGCCTGGGTTCGTTCAAAACCCAGAGCCTGGGTTCGTTTGAAAAAAATTCTTTTTTTTTTTTTTCTGTGGATTTGGTTGGTTGATGATGATGAAGAAGACAAGGCGAGATGAGGAACTCGGAACTGGGAAAAATAAAAAAAATTCATTTTTTTTTTCTGTGGATGCTTGTTAAGGAACTAGAGAGCATTGTTGTTCTAGGTTCGAATGGGTTTAGGGAAGAAAGGGGGAGAAGCGTTTAGGCTTTGCAGGAGGTGGGGCCCACTTTTTTTCCTTGTTTGGTTTTGGGGCAAAATGGATACTGCCATGTCATCTTTTTTTTTTTTCCAGGTGTTCATTTGAGGTGTCACTCTATTTTTGACATGTCATCATGCTTTGTTAATCAAGGACACATCACTGGAATTTTAACGGGTTTTTAACGGAAGGACTAAATCGGGTCAAAATGGTAAACAGTAAGGACCAAATCAGGGATTTTTTTAGTTGAGGGACTAAGTCGAGGGACTAAGTCGAGGGTCCGTATGATAGTTGAGGGACCAAAATGGGGGTTTAACCTAAAATTAAAAGATAAAAAATTATTTTTTATTTTATAATTTAAAATAAAAAATTTAAAGTTAAATAAATATAATTTTATTGGTTAAGTTTAAGGTAGAAATTTTTTAATGTAAACCACCCTTAGAGAAATTAAGTTATTTAAATATGACAGGACAACGTGAAAATATGACCTCAAAATCTCTTAAAGGATTAACATCAAGATGCATGAAAATTAATTTAAAAACTCCTTAGCCGAGACTCTCCAGACAAAAAAATTGCCCTACCATAAGTCTCAAAAAAAAAAATTAAGAGAATAAGTGAAGTAGAAGTCTCTACCCTAATCTTTTGTTTTTTTTTTGGATCTTCTACCCTTGCAAATTTTTGATTGCGCAACTGTTTGCATCTCAAAGGTCTGTGTAGTTAGAAGGCTAATTTTATCTGAAATGTTTTTATTAAAAAAGTAATTAAAAAAGTAATGTACAAAAAGTTCATAATTTTTATAGTGAAATTTTATTAAAATTTTATTGAGTCGCTACTTTTTTTTTATTTAGTGAGAAATTAATATAAAAAAATTGTCAAATAAATCCTATATAGAAAAAATTGAAAAGATTTTTCTCTTCAAAAAGTATAGAAGACAAAAAATTTAGGAGTTTGGAATTATATTATAAAAAATAAAGATGAAAAATATCATTTAAGCAAGGTGCCGTGTTTTGAGTGGAATTATTCATTCACCCGAGGGAATAAAGGTGTATTGAACTCTTACCAACCAATACTTAAATTAAAAGAAAGCATAAGATTTTAGAGTTAATTTAATTTAACATTTATTTCAAAATAATAATATTTTTTTAAAATTTTAAGAGAGATAAATATGTTTTTTTACTTTAACTGTATGATTTTCTCTTAATTTTAATTATTCATTCTCTAGTTAAAATAATTTTTTATTTTTATTTACCTTTTAAGGATAAAATAAGTAAAAATAAAAATTATCCCAAAATCTTTAATTTAAAAATAAAATAAGAAATGTCTATTGTTTAGAGACAGAAGGGGTAATTAAGTTTACAATCATGATGTATTACTACACAATTGCTTTTTTTTTTTTTTTACCCACAAGGGGTTGAATCAAGTGGTAAGCAGCTTGTTCCAGCTTAAGCAAGGTCTCGAGTTCGAGTCTTTGTGTATGCAGCAGTCCCCGCTGGGAGACTCACCCACCATTTCCAGGTGCGCGATGCGGGTCGGGTCCGAATTAGTCAGGGCGAAGCCTCGGATACCGGACGGGAAACCAAAATAAAAAAAAAAATTGCTTTTTTTTTTTTATTTTAGGCCTTATTTGTCATATTGTATATATCCACTCATGTAATAATACGTCATAATTGTAAGTAAATTTGCAATTTTTTAGCCATTTTGATAATAATACCCCTAAAAAAATTCTTCAATATTTAGACATTCAAATTATTATTATTTTTTGTATGATCACTAAAATTATTTTCTCTAACAAAAACAAAAAGATTATAGAAGTTGAGGAACTATTTATACAAATATTCTTTAAGTTGAGCATTATGAAAAAGTGTTTTGTGGTTTAAATTACATAACACCAACTTTTTTTAAAAGTACGTAAAACAATATATTATTAACTTAATTTAGAACACAAGGGATACTCAATTTTACATATCAAATTACACAATACTTATTTTTTAACATCCAACAGGATGAAAGTTAAGGAACTAGCTATTTATACGTTTATTTTTTAGGTTTATTTTGATTAATTATGATGAAATACCCATATCATCATGATTAATCTCATTTCTAATAATTAATTGATTAAGCTTTGGTTTTAATGAGCTGCTCCTTCGCAGCTTGTGCAAGCTTGGCATATGGCGCAATGCTGATGATGGAGGCATTAGCTGCAGCTTCATCCTTGAGATCATACTCAACAGTTGATTTGATGATGCTTGAATCCTTATCTTTCTCAATGATCTCGAATCGAACTCTATACAAAGTGAAGCCCAAATCCAGATATCCCCCTTCCACATCCTCTGTTTCCTTCACTCGATTCTCATTGTCAACCTTGGTATACTTCTTCTTGTACCAAGTAATCCCGGGTATCACTCCTAGTATAGTGAAACAATAAAGTCTCATGTTAGTTTTAAAATTGGTTACTTTAAAATCCATGGAAGACCTAATTTCTTGAAGGAATAGTAAGCAAATTTGCCCTCAGATAATTTTTTTCATTAAATAAGTACTTGATAAAACTTGATAGTAAATCCACTCTTAAAACTTACAAATAGCTGTAAATATATTGAAAATAAATGGAAAACGTTAGCCAATTTGTCACGTTATATCAGATAATTAATTAATTAAACATTAACTTTATATATTCTTTTCGTTTTTTTAGTTGTCATCACCGTACATGTATGTTTATGCAATGTTTTTTTATGCTACAATATAAGTATTTATTATTTTTTATAAATTATTAAAACTAATTAATTAACAAGATTTATGTATAAAAAAATTTAAAATTATTATTCATATGGTATAAAAATTTATTGCCCAAAGAAACATATGTACACAATCAAAATTAGACCACTAAAAAAAGGGATCTCAAAAAAAAAATTTATATAACTAAAATTTCCGTCATGGCCAGGGTAGGATGAGAGATAGTATGATATGCAGTAGCGTGGACTATTTGGAATATAAAAAATGATAAGGTGTTCAACAACGGCTCAATTGATATTTGGAAGACTAAAGAGTTGTTGATTCTGTACAGTGAAGACTTATTAATGGCGAAGAAATAGAGGGAAGAAATGGCAAATTTCTATATCAGATTGGATTTTAAACCCAAGGGCTTCTGCGAGCAGATGATGAACTAAATGGAGATAATTAGTGGTAATAAGAGAATTTAATTTGGTTAAGGCCCATGGTTGAGTCTTAGATAATTCTCAATGTTGTACATAGTTTTCAGTATTTTTGTATTTAATTAATAAATTTTGCTTAAAAAACAAAAACTAAAAATTTCCCTCAACTTTGGAGAGATTTGTTGTTGTTTGTAAGCTTATGGTCGCGAATTTACCATCAAACTTCTTCGCGGGGAGTGTGGGCGTTATTTGGGGTAGAAAATTAATTGATTCATCAACATCTCAAAGAAAAATTGTTCATTTCCCAAGAAACTGACATATAGAAGCTAAAATCAAAATTTCCTTCAAAATTGATGCTAACTTCAATCAATAGGAGCCAGAAAACAAGGATCAAAATGGTATGTGAGTAATTACTAATGAAGTTACCTGGTACAAAGACAATTTTGACAGTAGATCCTACTCCTCCATCACCAACAATCTCAACCTTTTCAACAAAATCCTTGAGTGCTTCTTGAGTAAGCTGTGGAAGTTTTGTGGTGCCATAGATCTCCCATACTTTACTCGCTGGGACATCGACTTCTAGCTCGTTGGAAACTTGTCCGTGCATTCTTCTTCTTCTTGTTTGGTCTCTGCAATATAATGAATTCTTGAGTTTCTTTGGTGCACCTAGACTTCATACTTGCATATCCATATATACTGCAAAATGTACATCTTCATCAAGGCTGTAAATTATTGACCAAGTGGGGCCTCAAGGTACAGTATTTATTAATTGTTGAGAAGTCGTTGTAATATTTTTAAGCACATTTTATGTATGGATGGTTGTTTGGCAATGTAACAAGATTAGATAATCAAATTCAAACACTACCACAAGGAGTCACATAATTAATAAAATTTTAAAAATGATATAGTGCTAATATCATGTGATATTATAAATTTACAATATATATAATATATTATTATATAATTAATTATTTTTATTTAAAAATTTATAAGCA